GGTCAAAGAGACGATGTGTTCTTTAACCAGCCTTTCGAAGCACTTTATCATGATTGGAGTCAGTGCGACAGGCCGGTAATCATTGAGTGAGTTGACCTGAGGCTTCTTTGGTACTGGAATAATGGTGTCAGACTTGAAGCATGCTGGCACAACGGATTGGTCCAGCGAGATGTTAAAAATGTCTGTGAGGACACCAGCTGATCTGCACACCCCTTATACACCCGCTCAGATATGTTATCAGGCCCTGGGGCCTTCCTCAGTTTGAATCTTCTCAGTTTCCCTCACTTCAGCTAGGTCCAGGTTTAGTGCCTCCTCCCCCTGGTGTGGAACAGCTTTCACTGCTGGAGTGCTGTTTAGTGCCTCAAATCTTTCAAAGAAGTTGTTCAGTTCATTTAGGAAGTCAGTGTTTGCTGCATCCTCCGCGGGGGAGGGTGTGTTTTAGTCTGCGATCATCCGAATGTCTTTCCACATCCTCCTGGTGTTGCAGTCGTCGTGGAAAAGATCCTGGATTTCCTGGCTGTGGTTCTGCTTCACTGATCTGATGGCACGGTTTAAGCTGGCACATGCTGTTCTTAGTGCCTCTTTGTCACCAGATTTGAAAGCTGAGTTCCGTGCTTTCAGAAATTTCCCAATTATCCTTATATTTATTATATTTTTTAACTATAAAAAAATGAAATAGTTAAGTTTATTGTTGAGTGAAATACCTTGTTGGTTAGCTTCTTTATGCACAAATCCTACTTCACCAAGAATGCCAAAACATGTAATGTTAAAAAAAAAGAAATTCAAGGTGTCAAAGTCTAGTTTGCAGAAAGTAAATAATATCTAATCTGATAGCGTTTGCAGCTGTCTAACTGATGTCCAACTGATGTGGATCAAATGTATCCTGTTTGTTTAACTGACATAAATTAGCCAAGAATGTATACATCTTAATATAGTTGTTTTTCTTGTATCTTGCCTGGATGTATGCCTCTTGTTATACAAGTATCTGAGTGCTGTTTTCACTTTGAGGGTTTATAAAGGGAAGAAAACATGCTCCTTCATTTTTTTTATGTCATACTTCAGCCTTTTAGGTGATCAAATAAAACAAAACGTTTTTAAATGATTAATGCATTTATTAAGGTTGAAAACATTATTCCAGCAAACCTAATCAGTGGTTTTGCAACTGATCGGCTGCCCAAAGTGATTTCCATAGTTAAAGGCCCGTTTAGGTTATGCCAAATAAGCCTAGATGCATTATTCCATCCCAAAACCTGAAATTGGATTTTCATTTGAGCCATGCTGCATACAAGTACACTGAAGCTCAAGTTTTCTAATAGAGGACAGAATCTTTGGTTTCATTTACCAGAAATTAAAGCAGTCCCAGATCATGATTATACAGCCACCATGTTTGATTGTTAGAATTATGTTTTTTTGTAACACTGTGTCATTTTAAAACCAAAAACGCAATGGGAATCCCAATTTTAGGAAGTAATATTTTTATCTGGTCAGTCTACAAAATATCTTTGTGTCAAACTTTTCTCTGTGTGTGGATGCTAAGAAAATAGCCTAGAAATAGCTTTAAACCTTTCCAGGCTGATAGAAATTCATGACTCTTTGCCATCTGTTTTTAAATTTGTTTAGATTGGGTGGTGATGATGAGTTACTTCTGCTCCTGAGGTTTTCAGGTTGTTCATTTGTCATCTATTCCTATCAGTGTTAACACCAAGGAAGAGTTTAAGGAACCAGCATTTTACAGATTTACAGATTCCTTCACTTTACTTCTGTATTGAAATTTTGAAACTTTTATGTATACACATATACCAGTGAAGGCTTTCATAAAAATTAAGGCTTGCTTATGTCAGCACAAACAAAGCTTGAAGTCTGCCTTTATGAACAATCTAGACATTTTTGTTTCCAATATTCCTTATAAATCTGTTTATTTGTAAGTGACTGAGGTTGGCACCAAGAAATAAGCAACGAGGGCCCAGGGTGTGGAATAAAACCTGTTATTTGCTGTGTGGTTTGCTCATTTCCTTTGTTCGTGTTGTGCCAGACCCTATTACAGCTGTGTGGAGAAACTGTCCCTCCTTTCTTTACTTTCCTTTTCTTTCCTTTCCTGCAATTTCAGCATTAACAGCTTGCTCTTTTCTCATACTAAGCTTTGAATGTGAAAAAAAAAAAGCCTGAAACCCATGAATGCTGCATCAAGATTTTCTGATACATTTGTTCTCAAATCACTATCATCTTAAAAGTTTCTGTATTAGTGGACACATTTTATGAACCTTGAGGTCTATTTCACTGTAAAGTTTTAACATATCCTAAAGCTTTTTATTTTATCTGAAGTAAGACAGTTTAAAGGCTGTCAAAATACACTTTTTCCCCCTCTGCAGATATTGTAACTCAGATTGAAATGTTCTGTGCATTTTTACTCACTATGTTTAAACACCTAAAAAGACCAGTTTATTCTGTTTTTGTGTTGATTGGTCAGAACTAGTAACTCAGCTGCTCTTACTATTTATAAAACAGATATTTAGAAACATTTGGTTTGATATTGACTTTGTTGTTTCCAATAGCTTGTTTAAAGTAATGTTAATCAACTGTTCCCTAATGCATCAGATAAATGACAGCAACTCAGTCAAGAAGTGGCAGCAGGGGCGGATTTACCATTAGGCAAAACTAGGCAGTTGCCTAGGGGCCCCATGTTCCTGAGGGGCCCCATAAAACTCCTTTTACATATATGGTTAATACAGCTATTACATATTTGTGACATTAATTATGTTTTTGATAAAAATCCTTTTGCTAAAACGCCATCAGAATGTTAATGGGTCTGTTCTATCTGTTGTCTTCTCAATTCAGAGGGACCCATGCCTGTCTATGCCTAGTGCCCCAGATATCCTAAATCCACCACTGAGTGGCAGGCCACATAAACTGACAGAGCAGGCTCAGGAGATGCTTAAGTGCATGTTGCAGAGAGGAGAACTTTCTGCAGCGTCAATCCCTAGACTCCTGTAAACTTCATGTGGCCTTCAGGGTTTGCATAATGGAGCAGCTGCATCCAAGCAATACATCACCAAGTGTAACATAACGCGTCAGATGCAACAGAGTCTCTGGAGTGACAATTCGGGCTTCTTCAAAGGACGTCTGAATCTGATGGAAGAGGCGTGGCTCAGTGTTGCTAGAAAAACGATTCTTGTCTGACTGCATATTCCCAAGTGTTAGGATTGGGGAAGGGGGGATCGAATTATGATGGATGGTTGATTCTCAAGAGTTGGGCTTGTCCCCTTCGTTCCTTTAAAGGTATGCATCCTCA